CTTTCCTGCTCCTCTGATGCTGCCTGGCCTGCTGTGTTACCTATGACTCCAGCATCGGCAGTTCTTACTATCCCTACAGTTGAGGATGATGGCCTAGCTTTCAAAACAGCAAGTTTAATCACAGGTAGCCAATGTTGAGGCTGTAGGCAGGTAGAGAGTAAGGTGCATCCTTTATTGGTAACACATACAAGTGTCCCTAATGCCAAGAAAATGTCAGTGGCGACAGGAAGTGGCCCTTAATTAGGCAATCATTTCACACAATTGGTGTCAAGAGCATAGTAACCGAGGCCACCGATGTTCCCACTGCTAGTAATATACTGAGATGACGCAAAGTCATTAAGCTCCCCACCTACCTCCCAGTCTACGTCCATAGGCTTGGTCAATTTCAATTCAATATTTCAGCTCTGCAATTCTTCACTCTGATGTAAGGTGACAAAATCGAAAATTAACTGTATTTCTTTTGCCATAGCAACTGCTTGACCTCTAGGTATTTCCAACATTTCCTAATCATGTTTCAGATTTCATCATGCTCTGTATTTTGCCCTTTACCTGAACCTGGAGTGGTTTGAGTTGTTGAGGTAAGGTGGGTAATTCCAGCCGATATTATTCCCTTTACAACGCAGCTCAATAGATTGTCCTGAGGCTAGGATTAATGTCTCTGCTGGTTTCTGGAAATGACCTTTATCCAAAACCTGTATCATGATGAAGGTTGGCTTTAGGTCTTTGTCTAGGAACACTCTCTCCTTTCTCAGTTTTGGATGTTTTAGTTTAATTTTCTTATGTATTGCTCTGATTTTATTCTGTCCAACTGCTTTTTGTTTACTTTTTTCATTCCGTTGGGCAATCCTTTTCTCTTTCTTTTGACAATCCCCTAATAAGAAAATAATAAACATTTTCATGAAGAAGACAGAACAATAAAATCTTACTGAAATTGTTACACAAGCAATATACAGTTTCAGAAATGAATGAAGACTTTTGAATGCTTCAGTAATATTTAAATAGCATAACTGCAAAACACTGCGGTTCAGAGGGCTTTAGGTATCCTAATACATGAATCACAAAAACTTAGTATGCAGATACAGCAAGTGATTGGGAAGGCAAATGGAATTTTGTTGTTTCTTGAAGGGAACAAAATGTAAAATTTGGAATATTTTGCCACAGTGGTATGTTAGTGAGACCACATTTCAAGTTTATGTATAGTCTTGATCTCCTTATTTAAGAAAATCTCCTTATTTAAGAAGTTCAGAGAAGTTTCACTCAACTGATACCTGGAATTGGGGCTTATCTAATGGGGAAAGGCTGACAGACTGGGTGTTTAAAAGAATAAGTGCTGATAGTATTGAAACGTAACATATTGATGGGACTTGAGAGGGTGAATGCTGAAAGGATGTTTCCTCTTTTAGGATAGAGAGTAAGATTAGTGGACACAATTTAAAATTAAGAGCCCCCCCATTTAAGACAGGGATGAGAAAATTTTCTCTCAGAGTGTCATGAGTCTTTGGAATTTCTTTCCCCAGAGAGCACTGCAGGCAGGCTCATTTAAAGCAAAGATAGATAGATTCTTGATAAGCAAGTGGGGCGGGGGAGGGGTTGGTTATTCGAGCTGAGTGGAACTTGGAGTAGGTAGAGCAGAGCTGAAGGGCCAAATGGCCTACTTTTACTCCAGTTGTGTAAACTGGGAAGAGAACAGTGCAGAACTTCAAAAGATCATGGACAGCTTGGTGGAGGTGTGGAAAGGTGGCTGATGAAGTTCAATGTGGAGAAGTACGAGGATGATTAATTTTGTTGAAAGAACATGAAGGCACAGCATAAAGGGTACTATTCTAAAGGGAATGCAGGGTGGAGTGACCTGAATGTGTATAAGTTTTTAAAGATGGTAGGAGAAGTGGAGAAAGCAGTAATACAGTTTGTTGGTCTTAATTGGAGGAGAAAGTGCAAGAGCAGGAGGTATAGGCAGAAAGTGGGAACAGAGTACAAGCTTATATGATCAACCATAATCATATTGAAAACTAGAGCAGATTCACAGGACTTATATGGCCTACTCCTGCTTCTATTTTCTACATTTCTATGTTTCTGCCTCACATTGCTCTGCATTGAACTTCACCTGACACCTTCCTGCCCAGCCATCAACATTTCAATGTCTTTTTGAAGTTCTGTGCTGTCCTTCACAAAGTTTACAGTGCTACTCGTTTCAATTTCCTTAATATATATTTGAAATAATTCCAAGTGCACTCAAGGAGGTCTAATTCAATCCGATTTAACACCAATTGGAAACCATCGTACTTATACAAAATGCAGGCTGAAGTCTAAAAGTCTATCCTTACAAGGGCTTCTCTAGGAGGTTCAGTCACAACTTGATTCTTTATTGATACCGTAGCGTTACTATGCTGCGATGCAGAAATGCCGAAGTTGCACCGTGAGCTTATATTCAAACACGTTTTGCTCTCCTCGTTTATATCACCTGAATTCTCCAACGGAATTCCCTGGCAATTGGTTTTGAGATATCTATTTCTTTGCCATATAATAGGACAATCCCTCCTCGACCCCCGGATCTCAGAGACGAATGGTATGTAGCTGGGATATAACTGGGAGATCCCAGTTTCAATGGGCGCCCGAACTATCATCTGGGACTACACATACACGAAAAATAACATTCATACTCATTTGGAGAATGCTCATTGACCTGCATTTTGATTTCATTAAGAAACAGTTCAAGATTTCAATTAGAAATCCAGAAAAAATAAAACAGTCCGAGGGAATCTAAAGTCAAAGCGAAACACGTCGACAACTAATCGCCTCTGAAACTGTAACGGTGTCACTTACCGATTTGTAAAAGTAATTCGCAGAAAAAGACAAACAGCAAAACGACATAAAACTTCATTTTACAACTTTTCTCAGTCGCGAATAATCTGTTAGGAAAGGATATTGTACAGATGTTTATTTCTGTCGGAATGATTAACCTTCCCGTAGGAAGCTAGCAGACCACCTCCGGAGAGTTTAGCTGTTTGGTAAAAGCCCACAATCTGGAAATGCTTGGGATTTTTCAGAGGAGTCAAAATACGTGTTGAATGACCAAATTAATCGGAATAAGATGCTTTTCAAGTCGAGTGAAAACATTTTCTATTCTGCGAGAAGGCTGACCCCTGTGGGAAACACAATGCTACAGCTAAATGAGACTGCAGCGTTAACATTCACAGCTATCATTACAATATACAGTACGGGAGAGTAGATATAATTGCAACATACTAATACTAGAAATGCAATACATAGTCTCCATTCAAAACAAAGCTCTGATACCTTTTTTTATTACAAGGAGGAAAGTGGAGTTTAAGATGATCAAATCAGCCACGATCTCATTGAATGCAGAATAGATTCAATGGGCTGAATGGCCTATTTCTGCTCCTATGTCTTATGGCCTTATGATCATAATACCATACAATATACAGCGGTTATAATTGCAGTAATATACTGGAACATGTAGCAATATGTTCACAGGGTCAAATGCACAGAATTCCCTAACTGCACTAAGGAAGTACCTTCACCACGTGATCAATAGCAGTACAAGAATAAGGCCCACCACCATATTCTCAAAGGTAACAAAGGATGAGCAATAAATGCGAGCTTTGGCAGTGACACCTACATCTAAAAAAAAGGCCCCCATAGTAGTGATAACTCCTAAGACTATATTGTGGTGAAAAGCATGGAAGAATATATTGCCTTTTTAAATATATTCACAGTCACATCAAATGCCAATAAGCATTTATATCTCAGTCAAATGTTGACATTTTTTTCAGACAGCAGAAATTGCTGAAAATAATATAAAGATTATAGCTGCTAATTGCACTTGGAACCTGCAAAACCAATAAACCACAGATTAGTAATATGAAAGGCCACTTGTTCCACAATTTTTGCTCGAGTAATCTAAATCCAAACTCAATGCTTCATTTCCATCATAGTTTTAAACTGATTCCTGATTTAAATATTGATCCAATTTCCTATTTTATCCATTCTACAATTAGCCTAAAAATAGAGAAATCAGATTGTTCTCTGGCCCATTTCCACTTTAAACCACACTGTTCTAATGAAGCTCAATGCAAGCTGGAGCAATCCTCATTTTTCACTAAGATACTTTACAGCATTCCAAATTTAGCACTGATTTCAACAATTTCAGATCATAATTAATGCTCTCACTTTGGACAGTAGCTATGCTCATTTTATGAATGGGATCAGAGAACAAAGAACGATGCCATTCAGCCCATCAGGTCAGTGCTGGTTCTCTGATAGAAATAGTCAGCTAGTCCCACACTCCGACTTTTCCTCTCTAATTCTGCATATCCTTTCCTAAAGAAAAATATTAAATTCCATTTTATAAGCCACATTTGAATCTACCTCCACCATACTCTCAGGTAAAGCATTCCAGATCCTAACCACTCTGTAAATAAGTTTTTATTTTTATGCATCGGGTTTGGGCATTGCTGGCTAGGTCAGAATTTATGGACCATTCCTAAAAAGTCCTGGTAAAGATGGAGGTGAACTGACTTCTTGAATCGCTGCAAACATTGGGTGTAGGAACACGTAGAGTGCTGCTAAGAAGTTCCAGGATTTTCACCCAGTGACTCTAGAAGCTTTACCATTTTAAGTACAGCACCTCTATCAAATCACTTCCCTGAGGAGATCACTCCCAGGTTTGCTAGTCTATTCCTGTATCTGTCTAACATGTATCCTTTAGAGGGAAATGCAGGAGCAATATATTCAGAGAACCTTGGATTTCTAGGACAATTCAAGGAAGAAGAATCGGGCTTTTAGCAAGTCCAAAGGAAGCAATTCAGCTACAGTCCAAGAGGAAGTGCAGGAGGGAACTTAAGAAAGAAATTAGGAGAATGAAAAGGGGGCATGCAAAAGCACTTGTGAACAGGATTAGGAAGAATCCCAAGATATTTTATAAATACATTAAAGGGAAGAGGTTAACCCAAGAAAGAATAGGGCCCATTAGGGACCAAGGGGGCAACCTGTGAGTGAAGCCGCAAGATATTAAAAGGGTGTTGAATGAATATTTCTCTTCAGTCTTCACTCTGGGAGAGGAGAATGTAGGTACAGAGTTCATGAAAAGGGACTGTAAGGAACTTGCACAGTTTGACAAAAGGAATGGGGAGGTTTGGAGGCTCTGTCGAGCTTAAAAACAGACAAATCCCCTGGCCTGGATGAATTGGATTGCAAGCTACTGTGGGAGGTGAGGCAGGAAATTGCAGGGATTCTGACACAAACTTTTAATTCCTCTCTGGCTACAGGGAAATGCCAGAGGACTGCAGGACAGCAAATGTGGTTTCACTTTTTAAGAAGGATGGTAGAGGTGAACCAGGAATTTACAGACCAGTGAATCTCATGTCAGTGGTAGGGAAATTATTGGAGAAACTTTTGAAGGAGCGACTTAATACCCAGTTGGAAAGGCATGGGTTAATCAGGGATAGTCAGCATGGATTTGTCAGAGAGACATCATGCCTAATGAATTTGTCAGAATTTTTTAAAGATGTAATCAAGTGTGTGGATGAGGGAAGTTAAGTTGATGTAGTTTATATGGATTTTAGCAAAGCTAAAGGTCCCACTTGACAGACTGAATGAGAAAATTAAAACAAATGGAACTGAGGGAAATGGTGAGATTGATCAGAAACTGGCTTAGTAATAGAACACAAAGGGTAGTGGTAGAAGGCTGTTTGAGTGACTGGAGGTCCAGCAGTGTATCACAAGTATCAGTACTGGGACCCTTATTGTTTGTTATATACATAAATGACATAGATGAAAATGTGGCGATGATGTTAAGCAAATTTGCAGACGACACCAAGATTGGTTGAGTGGTTAATAGTGAAGCAGATGTAGGTTGTAGGTTACAGAAGATATAGATGGGTTGGTCAGATGGGTAGGCAAGTGGCAGATGATATTTAACCCTGATAAGTGTGAGGTGATGCACTTTGTAAGGAGAAACAAGGTGAGGGAGTATTTAATGAATGGCAGGACACTAGGTAGCTTAGAGGAACAGAAGGATTTTAGGGCAATTATTCACAGATCCCTGAAGTTGGCAGAGCACGTGAATAGGATAGTTAAGAAGGTATGGGGGACACTTGCATTCAGCGGTCGTGCCATAGAGTACAAGGGCAAGGAAGTAATGTTGGAGTTGTACGGAGCGTTGGTCAGGCCACAACTGGAGTACTGTGTGCATTTCCGGTCGCTTCACTACAGGAAGGATGTGATAGCACCGGGGTGGGGGGGGCAGAGGATATTCACTAGGTTGTTGCTTGGGGTGGAGAAATTGAGATACAAGGAGAGGCTACATCGACTTGGATTGTTTTCTTTAGAGCAGAGAAGACTGAGGGGGGACCTAATTGAGCTGTATATGATTATGAAAGGCATAGACAAGGTGAATAGAGAACTAGCATCGCCAGTTCTTACCATCTCTGAGTGAATAGAGAACGGCTGTTTCCCCTGGTTGATCATGAGAAGACATGGTTTTAGGATAGGGACAGAAGATTCAGAGAGGATTTGGGAAAAAACTTTTTCACTCAGCGGGTGGTCGGAATCTGAAATTCACTGCCTGGGAAGGTAGTAGAGGCCAGAAACCTTACAACCTTTAAAAAAAAAATCATTTGAAATATCAATACTTTCACGGATATGGGACAAGTGCAGGAAACTGGGATTAGCGCACAGTTAGTGGTAGTTATGTCAGTGCAGGCTCGATGGCTGAAGGGCCTTTTCTGCACTGTCTGAATCGATAAATTTATGAGTCCAATTGCGAGTCTGTCCTCCTTCTTCATAGTGAAATGCATCACTTGACATTTCTCTGACTTAAATTTCCTCTGTCTCCATTCTTTACCCCCTTGCCACCAGCCAGGAAAAGACACTTTGCAAAGGGTAATTGAGGAAATGAACTGGGAGAAGATAATGATAGCCGGCAATGTTTAGAAACAGAAGAGAGGCTGAGAATTTAGCATAAGGGAGAGAGAGATTTGCATCTGATGCAAAACAATTACTGCAATACCTAAATTGTAACTGTTTACTTTGCAAATGAAACATGTTTTCTTAAAGGTTAGCCTGCAGCACATATACAATCTGGTTATTAATAATTTCGCAGACTAACATTAAAAGTGTTTAAAAAAGTTCGTGTGAGCCTTATCCTGTTTAGTCCGACGTTCTACAAAAAGACCTAATCTGTGTGGATGTAAACTGCAAGTGTGGCAGGAGTGGTTAATTTAAAATGTATGGAGCTGTGCCCTGAAAACTGCAGAGGCAAGAGCCTCACACTTGTGCAGAGAGGAGCTGAAAAAAAAAATTATTGTCAGAAGTGGGATTCGAACCCACGCCTCCAGTCGGAGACCAGAACACCCGCCCCGCAATGGGAAGGATTGAATCCTTGAGTCTGGCGCCTTAGACCACTCGGCCATCCTGACAAGTGACAACAGCCGCATCAGCGAGACTCAAATCCCCGAGTATCAAACGCGGCTCCTTGGTGACGGTGGTGCTGCGACGGCCCTAATGCGCCCCCGCGTTTTTTAAAAAATTTTGTTTGGCTCAGGACGATCTCGCTCGGGCAGTCCGTTCCCAATCATGTGCAGCCTATTTGAGCTCCTCCATTTTCGTACCCTCAGTGGGGGCTGCGCGGAGGGCGGCCATGTTGAGGGCGGCCCTAACCCAGGGTGGCTCAGAGCCGCCATCTTGAGTGTGGATGCGCGCATGCTCACTACCACCCCTTGTCGGAGCGTTGCGTGAAGGTGTTGGGCTGGAGTGAAGAGACCCCTTTTTTGTTAAAGGTTACAGATCTCATCACCTCTCTCTGGTCGACTGTCTACACATTACATCTTATGTGAATGCACACGCTTAAATTGAAGCGGTCGGTGAACTTCAGAAAATACGAGTGAATCAATTAAAGAAAAATGCCCCTTAAACCCGCAGGAAATGGGAACCAAAACGGACTCTGGAAACACAGGATTAGCAACATGTGGAGAGAGGAGCAGAGTTTTTATTTATTCTCTCGTGGGATGTGGGTGTTGATGGCTGGGCCAGCATTTAATGCCCATCCTTAGCTTGCCTTGAGCAGTTGGTGGTGTGCTGCCTTCTAGAACTGCTGCAGTCCATGTGC